CCCCCTCTATTCCTCCTTTTCTTCTTCCTCTTTCGGGTGGTTGTAAAGGCGAAGGGTTGTGGTAATGCCCTGGTTGTTGTTGTTGGTTGTTTTGGTGGTGGTTCTTCTAAGGCAAAACTATGTTGTTGTTGTTGTTGTTTTTGTTGTTTTTTTTTTTTTTTGGGGGGGGGGGGGATTCAGAGTGGTATTATTGTTGGTGTTATTGTTATTGTTGTTTTCATTATTATTATTGTTATAATTATTTTTAGTAGTAGTAGTAATAGTGGTGGTGATGGTGATATTTTCCTCCTCATTATCATCATGATCATCATCGTCATCACTATTTTTATTTTTATTATTGCTTTTGTCCTCCCTCTCTTTCTCTTCTCCTCCTCCCTCCTTCCCTTTGCCTTCCTCTCCTTCCACTTAACCTCCTCTTCTCCTTTTTCCCTCTTTCTCCCCCGTTGGCCTCTTACCCTCTCATTCCTCCCCAATCCTTTATCCGTCTCCCTTCTCCACTCCTTCTCTTCTGCTTTTGGGGGCGCTGGCACTGATTGAATCTGATAGATAAAAGCCGCTTGTGGTCGGCATTCGATCGAGCGACGCAGCAGCGACAGCGTTATCATTACTTGGATGCAGCCGAAGGGGTTCTCTTGGGCCGGGCAGCGGTCGCGGTGGTCGTCTGGTGGTCGTTCGGTGGTCGTATTTGCGGTGGTTGGAACACCTCGTATCTTCCGGTCCTTTTCTCCTTTCTCCTGTCTCCCTCCTTTCTTCCTCCCTCCTTTCTTCCCGCCTCCCTCTCTCCTTCACTCCCTCCCTCCCTCCCTCCCTCCCTCTCTCCTACACTACAGCTTAGTTGCTGCAGTGTGGGGTTTGGTTGTGTGGTCGTCCCGGGAAGCCTTTGGTGGTGGTCGTCGTGGTAGTAGTAGCAGCGGTAGCGGGCTTCACCACAGTCGCCACCAATGTCAACACTACCACTACCACGCACTCCGCTCCCACTAGATGAGTTTGCTGATAGGCTGTGTGTGCGTGAGCGTGCGCGCCTATGTGTGTGTGTATGCTTGCGTGTGTGTTTGCGTGCGTGCGTGTATGGGTGAGTGAGTGAGCGAGTGAGTGAGTGAGTGAGTGAGTGAGTGAGGGGCGTAGTTGTGGTAGTGGTAGTGTTGATAATGGCGATGGCGAGGCCCGGAGTGTGGTTGCGACGGGGCGAGAATGAGCGGAAGTCCACCATTAATCAGTGTTCGCCGCGCGGCCGTGAGACAGACGACGTGTGATGATGCGGAGGTCGTGTCCCGTCCCAGGCGTCGCTCGCGGAGGCCGGGTGGTCGGCCGCTGTCCAGGGGGAGGACGTGGTAAGTGGTAAGTGCTAGGTGGTTGGAGGAGGAGGAAGAAGAGGAGAAGGAAGAAGAAGGGGAGGAAGAAGAAGGGGAGGAAGAAGAGGTGGAGGAAGAAGAGGAGGAGGAGGAAGAAGAGGGGGAGGAAGAAGAGGAGGAGGAGGAAGAGGGGGAGGAAGAAGAGGAGGAGGAAGAGGAGGAAGAAGAGGGGGAGGAAGAAGAGGGGGAGGAAGAAGAGGGGGAGAAAGAAGAGGAGGAGGAAGAAGAGGGAGAGGAAGAAGAGGAGGAGGAAGAGGAGGAGGAGGAAGAAGAGGGGGAGGAAGAAGAGGAGGAGGGGGAGGAAGAAGAAGAAGAAGGGGAGGAGGAAGAGGAGGAGGAGGAGGAAGAAGAGGAGGAGGAGGAAGAAGAGAGGGAGGAAGAAGAGGAGGAGGAAAAAGAGAGGGAGGAAGAAGAGGAGGAGGAAGAAGAGGAGGAGGAAGAAGAGAGGGAGGAAGAAGAGGAGGAGGAAGAAGAAGGTGAGGAAGAAAAAGAGGGGGAAGAAGAAGAGGGGAAGGCGGCGGCGGCGGCGGTGGACTGGTAGCCGTTCGCTTTCGAGGATGGAAGGTGGAGAAAGGAAGGAGAGATTGCGAAGGACGAGGAGGAGTGGTGGAGGAGGTGGAGGATAGGAGGAGGAGGAGGAGTAGGAGTAGGAATAGCAGGCGGTGGGGGGTGGGTTAGTTTTGTTGATGTTTTTTCTGCATAATGTAATGTCTCGATAATGGATGGGTTATAATGCCCCTTTCGATAATGTATAGTTTTGATGCATAACATCATACTTTGTTGCTGTTTTGCTCCAAGAATAACTATTTGTAAGGATAAGAGTTAAGTAATTTTCTGGAAATGCTAAAACGTGTAGCATTATTATAGCACATAGGGCATTAAAACGTATTTGTATTTGTATAGTACCGAAAGCAAAAAAAAAAAAAAAAAAAAAAAAAAAAAAAAAAAAAAAAAAAAAAAAAAAAAAAAAAAAAAAAAAAAAAATCGTTAGTATAGCACTAAATCGCAAACATAGGATTAGAACATAGCATTAGTTTTGTACCAAATGCTAAAACGCTAATGTGTATAGCACTAATACGAAAACGTATAACCATTAGCACAATCCCATGCTGTTCCTTATAGCATTGTAGGGGACGAGTTCCTGACGTAACCACTATTACTGTGGGTAGGCTG